CCTTTTGCCAGCTACAAACATATGCACAAAGACATAATACCCTGTACCACAGTGTGGTGAAGGGTATAAAAACTCCGTGCGGATGTAAGGACCCTAAAACATAATTTAAAATAATACACGTCTATAAAGACCTCAAAAATATGCAAGAAAAAGATTGAAATTCACAAAAACTTGTCTAAAATCCCAAAATTCGGAATACTGGTGGTACCGATATATAGGGGCTACCCCAAAACTTATGTCAACATTAACAATTCTAAGTACGGATATGTGTCATTCAGTGAGAACCTCAAATAACAAAAAAAAATATATAGATAATTCGGTTGGAAATCCTGTCTAAATCCCTAAAATACCGAGTATTTGGGGAATATCGTTATATGGGGACTACACCAAAATGTGGACCAATATATAAGATTTGCAATACCAAACATCCTAGGAGTACTAGCAATGTCTATGCAAAATTTCAGAGCTTTATCTTAAAGATTGCAATCTCTATCTGGATTTCATTCTGATCAAGAATATATATATTTTGGGTCTCCGGTGAATATTTCGAGAATTTGCAAACGGAATGACAAATTTTATACACACTCTACCTTATTGTGGAGGTTATAAAAACCTATGTAAGGACCCCAAAAAAAAAAAAATAATTTTTAAAAATCCACGCCAATTTAGAGAGAATAACCCCACACAAGTATTGGCAACACTGCCGTGGACGAATTTTGCCATCCCTGCCTATCATATAAGTGAGCAATATTAGAACAACAACAACTCTTCAACATACAGTTCTTACCTTGGAGAAAAGCTCGTGTCCCATAGCCTTACTCTTCTAAGCTCACGAGTGCAATAGAGATCAAACGACGACGGCAACGGCGACTGCGACGACAACGATTGTTCATACGACCGAGGATGACACAAACGAAAAACGTAAACAAACAATGGCACCACGAAATGATCACTAACCAAAACAAAGAACAAATGATAGAAACAACAAAAAAACATAGCACAATTTTATTTGACACAACTTTTTTTTATTGGCAAATAATTATATTTTCAATGATTTCTTCGACAAATTCAATTGAAACACTTGAATCAAACACTTTTCACTTCAATTTTGCCAATAACTTTAATTTACAAGGAGGGATGACATAGGGACAACAGAACACAAACAAAAATAAACAAATAACAAAAAACGAACACGAAGATGATGGACAGCAAGGCAACTTGTAAATAAAAACTATGCATAAACCAAAAACGCGATCAAATTAACACTTTAATATCACTAAATTGTTTTAAACTAATTATACAAATTTACAGATGATGGAACACTAAATTAATACGAAAATTAAAGAAAACACGACGAAACTCTCGACGAACTCCTCGCGCCCGACTTCAATGAAAAGACAAAACAACTGAAGAGAAAACAATTGTTGAGTTGCCATAGTCAATGTAATTAGATCAACAAATGTGATGGACTTCATTCAGTCATTTAGTTAAGACGAAACGGCTGAAGCTAGAATCTTGAAATGTTGGATGAGGGTCATTCGTACTAGAACGGAACGAAAAGTGCTAATCTATACTAATAAAAGTGTCTGACTGACTGATTTAACGATTCATCAAAGCCCAGACGAAACGGCTGAAGCTATAATCTTGAAATTTTGGGTGAGGGTCACTCTTGGTCCAAAGGCGACAGATAAGGCTGTGTTTTTGGAAATTCGTATTTGGCGAACCGGTAGAGCTAGAACTCGGAAATTTGGATTGGTAATCGCTGATGTACCAAAGGGTTTTTGGAAATTCGAACTATAACTATCCGAAAAGTACTAAAATGTACTTAATTTGGTACAATTTCGTAGCATGTGAATGGATAGAGCTAAAAACTTGAAATTTGGAATGCGGATTAGGGTTAAGATGTGGAGTCTATGTAAGGAGATGGTTTCGAAAGCGTGTACTCATGTGTACGAAAAGTACTATATGGTACTATACTTGGTACAAGTTTAATTTGGAGATACAAATCGAGTTGGAATCGTAAAATTTGAAATTAACATTACCGTCGGAGTGAAGGATTGGGATATGTACGTAGTTCCAAAACTACGTACATATTGTTTACTTACGTGTACGAAAAGTACTAAATTGTACTATAATTGGCACAATTTGGATTTGGGTGAACCGATAGAGCGCGAACAATGACATTTGGAGTCAGGATCATTGTAGGGGTGTAGGATTGGGGTCTGGACTCAGTTTAATACATTAACTTATAGGTACTAAATTGTACTAAATTTGGTACAATTTGAATTTTAGGTGAACCAATAGAGCTAGAATCATGAAATTTGGAGTCAGGATCATTGTTGAGGTGTAAGATTGAGATATGTGGAAATTGTACTAATGTGTACCAAATTTGGTACAATTTATGTTGTGGATGAAGCAATAGAGTTGGAATTCCGATATTTAGATTTTGGATCACTGTGGGGTTGTAGGATTGGGTTATGTAGGAAGTTTTGGAAATTGGTACTACTGTGTACAAAATTTGGTACAATTTGAATTGTGGGTGAACCGATAGAGTTGAAATCCTGAAACTTGGATTTAGGATCACTGTGGGGGTGTATGTTTAGGTTAAGTAGGAAGTTTTAAAATTTCGTACGACTGTGTACTAAATTTAGTACAATTTGAATTGTGGGTGAAGCGATTGAGTTCAAATCCTGAAAATTAGAGTCAGGATCACTGTGGGTGTAGATTTGGGGTATGTACACAGTTTTGGAAAGTGGAAAGTGTTGAAATTCGTATTTATGACTGTTTGGGTGAAGGGTAAAAAATGACACCAAACTTTGTATACAGCTAGATTTCCTTTGCGGTCAGAATTTGTGTGTAGGGTTGAGATATGGAGGTATTTTTGGGAAAAAGTACTATAAGAGAACATAGGTACTAAACGGTTCTAAAAGTGTTAATATTGGTTGATATTGGATTTTAAATACTTCCCACATTCGCTAACGAAGAAGCGGGTATATGCTAGTATGGTACTATTTGTATTTGTGTAGAATAGATGTACCAAAGGTTTTTTGGATATTCGAACTATACCTAAAAGTACTAAAATGTACTAATTAAATGTAAAATTACTAATAACCAAATTTAATGCAATTTGGGTTTAGGCGAACCGAAATAGCGGTAATCTTGAAATTTGGAATTAAGATAAATGTTGAAGTTAAGGATTGGGTTAGGAATGTAGTTTTGGATAATTGTACTTATTCCTTCTATTACGATATATTCCAAATTACGATTTTGTCGTAATTGACCATAATTTGGTATTTAAAATTCTCATTTGGGGTGAAATATTCTTAGTAAAAACTATTAATATTGATTAGTACCCATATAAACGGACTCTTCATTATTCGGTATTTTGAAGATTTCGAGCAGGGTTTTCAACCAAAACGGTTACATTTCAAATTTAATTAAGGTATGTCATAGCTACTTTGAAGTTTAATATTGCTAAGTAAATAAAAATTTTATAGAGCAGGAATACGTACTATAAAGGAATACATGTACTAAATGGTACTAAAAATATAATTATGGTCGATATTGTTTTTTTTTTTAGTTATGGTCGCACTTAATACGGTTTGAGTCAACCAAATTAAAATTTAGTACAAGCCAAGGTCAAATATCTCTATACAATCCCAATGGAAGTACAAAATTTGAACTAAAAGAGATATACCAGTAGTATAATTTGGATTTAAAAAAATTCGAAATGTTGACACTTTATGGGGTAGCTCTCAGAATGAATAGATCAATGGGACTCAACTTCGGACTTTATCTAGGTTTAGTAATGATAATAAGTTGGGAAAAGTTTGGTTTATATCGGATAGTCCGATCGCATGATATTATAAAAATAATTTTCAGCAAAATGTTGACCATTTTGTGTGGGAGGTTTCAGAAGAAGGGGACCGATGGGCCCCATATTCGATATAGATTTGAGATTGAAAGAAATATTACGATGTGTAAAGTTTGGATGAAATCGATTACTTCCGTCGAGAGTTGTGGTGCGCACCAGTCGGTCAGACAGTAGGATATTTGTAAACATACCATGGGGTCTAAAACAAAATTTCTGTGAGGAACATTTTTGCCGTATATACCCTCATTAGTCATAAGGCTGAGGGTATGAACATGTCGAAATTGTTATGTTAAATCTTCAAATGTTTACAAATATTCAAATGATTCGATTTTGTGGGGATTTAGATAATATATGAAGTGGGCCGATAAATCTAATATTAAAAAATTAAAAAAGTCTGGTAAAAATATTAAATTGCGGAAACTAATTGTCAGTGGGGGAGGTACTAGTTTATGTTTGAATGAAATATTACGATTTTCAAAGATTGATAATAACTGAACTAATATTTCGATCAGGTCGATATTTCTAGACCTAATGAGGGTATATACATAGTTTATGATTAGATTACGTCCCCAAAGGTTCGTATCGATGCGTTACCACACTATTCTCGAAATAATTACCCTTTTTGTCAATTTTTCCCATCGATAGTAATTTGGCATTGCGGGGTTTCCGGGGATAAAAATTATATTTACATAAAATTTTATATTATGAGTAGGGAACTAAAATTTTGACGTTTTACGTCCCATGTCCCATAAAAATGCTCTTGTATTTTGTTTAAAAAATCATTCAACAAGTTATGTTTTTTAATTAAAATTTTTTCACTACCTCTCCGCAGGAACATGTCATCACTGTAAATATGTAAATGCAATCGAATATTTATTTTCTTACAATTCATTGATATTCCAAGTGTCATCACCTAACAATAATAACTCAGTAACTGAATGAATGAACGCTCGCTTAATGGCCCTGCACCTTAGAATTTGCATATAGCAAATTGTAGGAGGTGGGCGAAAGTGAGACAAAATTTTGTCTCGATAACATCTTAATTTGTAATCAATGATTTATTTACAGCACGGAATAACAATGAGCTACTAGTTCTAACTTTTTTCCTCTTCTTCCTCCCATATAGGCCTTTGTTCACGTTTCCTCAGCGTTTGCCAATTGTTTGGCTTTGCACGGGGAAGAACGTTTCTATACCGAGCACTTGGGTATTAATAGCGAAGATTTACTGTGTATTAAAAATATTTTGGGCAATGAGAAATTTGATCGCATGGAAGTGGATATGGTGGGAAAGTATCCCAACACATATTGCTTTACAAAATCCTTGGCGGAGGAGGCTGTGCTGAGATATAGTGGCAATTTGCCGGTATGCATATTTCGACCGGGAATAAGTTAGTATAAATATATATTGTTTTAGGGACATTTTATTAATAACTACTTGATGTTTGATTTTTACAAATAGTTCTACCCACAAGTGCTGAACCTGTGCCCGGTTGGATTGATAATTTATATGGACCCATGAGCGTGTTATATGGAGCTGCCTATGGTGTATTGCGTGTCATGTATGGTAATCCAAATCAAAATGCCGGTTTGGTGCCTGTGGACTTTTGTGCCAACATGATGTTGGCCTGTGCTTGGTATACGGCAACAGCGGTTAAGCAAATGTAAGGCGGAATAATTTTTCAGATTATTTGTACAATTATTATAATTTAGAAAAAATTGCCTATAGTCCTTCCAGTGATCCACCAATTTACAATTTGGTACCCGACGAATCGAACACCTTGCACTGGGGTGCCTATAAACGGTTCGTCGAAGAACATGGTGTGGAAATACCGCTGGCCAGTATGATCTGGTATCCATTTTTAATATTCGCCCAAAATGCCTATTTCTATCGTTTCCTGATCTTAATCTATCACATCTTGCCGGGATATTTTATAGATTTTGTATTGCTACTAATGGGCAAGAAACCTAGGTAAGATATTTGAAAATTTATTTATTATTTTATTTATTTAATAATTTTGTTGTTGTTGTTTTTTTAGGATGACAAAGGCGTACAAGAAAATCCACAAACAGTGCAGCTTGTTGCGTTACTTTTTACAGAACAGCTTCACTTTCGACACAACAAATACGAAGAATTTATGGAAAATTATGTCAGCCGATGATCGCAGAATATATAATTTTGATATGGCTGCTCTGGATTGGAGTCAATATTTCTATAATAGTCTGTATGGTTTACGGCGCTTTTTGGCCAAAGAAGATCCATCGACAATACCACAGGCCAAGAAATTGCTGAGAAAGTAAGTAATCGTATTTGAATACTAATATTTTAGTGAGGAGGTTTTTAATCCGTACATTACCTAAAATTAACCAGTAAAGTAGGACGGGACGAAATAATCATTTCCGATATAATCATAATCAATTTAGCATCTCCGTCTGTCTGTTGTAATCAATCAAGCATCTAAATGAAATGAAACGGTCCACGATTAGGCATAGCCCCATATAAGGGTCGCCCCCGCCCCCACACATTTCCTTGAGCGAGCTTTTCAAGTGAATTCGCTGAAATTTGGAACAATTAGTTCTTATTGAGTACTAAATTTCTCCACTATTTCTGGTAGCCCTCCTATAACGGTACCCACCAATTTTCGTCTTTTTGGGGTTCTTAAGCGCGCTTTTCCACCTAACATCAGTACATTGTGCAAATTTTTGTGTCAATCAGCCTAAATTTGACTCTTTGGTGAACCATTTGTTAAAATCAGACGAAAGTCGGAGCTATATATATATATATATATATTCGTCCGAACGTTCGGAACGTTCGGCTGAACTTTTTATACCCTCCAGCATGATGTGGAATTCAAAATATATAAAATCAGATAGAACCCCATAACGGAGGTTATTTCAAATATAGATTCAGCTTATAAAATGTCTCATGCTTTCTTATATATTTAGAATCGGAAATACCAAATTACCGACACATAGGCTGGAAAATGCGGCTAGGATCATCAAAATACTTTATATAATACTTTGAATACATTAACTTATATTTAAATAAAATACATTGGATCCCTGAAATATCAATTCTCAATATGAATTTCGTAATTTCAACAGATAGACGGACCTATGGAAAAATATTTGAAAACTGTATTGGAAACATCTCAAAATAAAACACGTACAAACACTTATATAACTAAGTCCTTATGATTATATATTGGTACGGCTAAAATGTGTCTCATCGAAATTTTGGTTTTAGACCCATGTTGGACCAAATCTATCTGTCTAGCTGGTGCACTTGATAACGCTCGAAGGAAGTAAAAATTTTGCTGAAAATAATCTTATAATAACATGCGAACGGGCTATCCGATTTGAACTAAACTTTGTACAATCTAATATTTTAATCATGCCTATGTTGGAGGATGGAACTTCTCCACTCCTTCAAGTACCTCTCTACAAAAAGTCGATATATTGAAATATATATCAGATTTCATCGTAATATATTTAACTTACATAGATCAAGTTCGAAGTTGGGACCCGTCGGTCCTCACCTTCTAGTACCACCCTCACAATTTTTTAAACTTGTGAATTTGATGTTGAGTGAATGGAGTAACCGATTTAATCCATTGTTTGTACATGGTAATACATTAATTCCGATAATGGGGTCTATAGGGCAACCTCTTTAGGTACATCCCCACAAATGGTCAAGTGTCTGATAAAATCATATACCATATAAACATGACAGACTTTAATATTTATATGAAATACAGATTTAGTGCAATTATCGGCTATATGGGTCCATCAGATCTACTACCTCCCACAAAAACGGCCATGATTATGAAAAATTATAAATTTAATAAAGAAGGAAAAGCGTCCCTCCGGCCATGTGATATGCATTCGAAATTCCTTTAATTGATCGTCACCTTTATATGGGAACTTTGATATTGTATGATGTCGTAGCAGCATGTTTAACTCTAAAAAAATTATGCTCCAAATTTCAGGTTGGAAAACTGGGATTGGAACTTCAAAATACCGAACATTAAAAGGAACATTTGTATGAGGGCTATTAAAAAAAAACGCATATTGAATAATTTCAAAGAAGATTTTAATTATTCATCAGGAATCCATTATGCCAAATTATACGTCGATGAGAAAATTGATAATACAAAAAATAGTTAGATTCCTTCATATGGGGGCTATGTTTAAACATCGTCTGATATAGCATTGCTAAATTACCACAATAGTGAATATGTCAACACAGGAACCAATTTCCAAAATTCGGAAACAAAATTTCGAATATTTTTATACCCTACACAACTATGTTGTCAGGGTATTATAGCTTTGTGCAGGCCCAAAAGTTTGTAACGCCGCGAAATATTGGTCCTAGACCCACCTTTAAGTATACTGATCGTCATATCTCGACTAGCTGAGTCGATCTAGACATGTGTGTCCGTCCGTCCGTCTGTCCATTATAATTTGTAAACACGATACAGGACAGTTATGGACCAATCTTCACGAAATTTTGCATGTAGGATGGGTTCGGGCCAATGAAAACCCCTATTGTTTTTGGGAAAGATCGGCTAATATTTAGGGGATGAAATGGACCAAATACTAAATTTTTGTCAGTTTTTCTGATCGCTCCAGAGGCCGCAATAATGGTCCGATCATCGTGAAATTTTGCATGGAGAAGGGGATCGGGCCAAAGAATAAACATGCCTGTTTTGATAAAGATCGGTCAATATTTAGCGGGTCAAATGGACCTTGACTTTTGTGTGAAAAATGACAAAATTTGTATTCTATTGCGTATATATTTACTCCTAAAGGATATAGACCCGAGAAGCTGAAAGTATATCCAACAGAAGTGTCTGATCTTTAAATTAATACCAATTATATAATCGTATGTTCTCGGATGTAGGAGTTACACTTAAATATTTACAGGTGCTTACGTATTCAGATATAATTTAGTAACCCAATACCACACTAGACGGCGGAAATATAACGCTGATCGATTTTCAATTTCCCTTGAGGTTCCAGTTATCAAAGACAGAGCCTATAGTTTTCGGTGATGATCAAACTATTTTGAAATGAAGTGGACCGAAAACTTATTTTTTGTGTTTTTCCGAGTCGATCCATAGGCCACATTTATAAACCAGACATCACCATACAGCACACGGTGAAGGCAATCTGGATATGTAATTAGGGGGGAATATTCGGAAAATATGTCAGTGTAAGGAAGAGGTGCTGTTGACCTCTAATCGGGCAAGAGAGTACAAATGTCATGAAATATTGCCCAGCCTCGGAATAAAAATCCAGAAAAAGTTAGAACTCCGTGGTAGCTGTGTAGGGTATATTATGGTCGGCCCCGTCCGACTATACTGCTCCGCTCACTGGTTTTTATATGGGGTTTTAAAATTTAAACATGGACAAATATAGACAATTTTACGCAAAAATGTGTTTTAAATTCCAATGTTCCGGAATGTCAAATTATACCTCTTCGGTTACAACCTTCAAAATTCGGATTATATTGATCATTTGCTGTATATATGTATGTAAACCTTCAAGAATTATTTATACCAAACTACAGCCAAATCGGTGGAAAATGAATCTAAAGACTTAACAATAGCGAAAATGGGTCGGTTTCGTATCCAATCCAAAACGTTAAAAGATATTGATAATTTTTGGCAGAAAGATTTGACACGCCCATGAGTAGCTATCCGGAATCTTGAACCAATATTGATAATTTTTGATAAGGAGATTTTCTACCCAAAGATCATCCGAAATATAAAATTACAATTTCGTTTAAACAAAATACGGAAACTTTGGGATGTAACGTTATATGGGGGCTACCCTAAAATGAGGACCAATATTGACAATTTTAGTAGGAAGATTTTGAACACAGTGATAACCCAAAATATCAAATATTAACCAATTAGGTTTAAAAACGAGCCCAAAAGCCAGAAAGTACCGAGTATCGGGTGGTACTGCTTTATTGTCCCTAAAATCGGACAATACAAATAATTTATATATTAGAAAGGAATATTAGGAAGATTTAGTAACCAATGTGAATTCTATGTACCAAATTACAGCCAATTCGTATAAAAACGTACCCAAACTAACAAAAACATAGAACAATAATAGGTACGTCTCATGGGGGCTACCCTAAAATGTTGGTAGCAACATTTTCTACTTAATCACAACTCAAGGTAACAGATTTCAACTAATTCGGTTGAAAAAAGTGTCAGGAATTTCCATAATACCGTATATTTGGGGTTACCAAACATCCTAGGAGTAATATCAAATATATGTACTTTGTAGGGTCTCCGGTGAATATTGCAATTGGAATGAACATTGAATATGCACTCCAACTTATAGTGGATATAACCAAAATTCAATTTTTGAGACTATGAAGTTTGATTCAAGTAAGTTTGAATATAGTAATTTTATTGATTTGTTGTAGTAGGTGCAACTATGATGCTACTTCAAGCCGATGAATATTCAATATTTTGAATATTTTGTCCGATTTCATTGACGTGTGTTAATGAAATCAGATGAAGGCAAATCATCAGTTCGTTTTCATGACAAATTAGGTTCCGTTCAAATAATTGCAAATATAAATATGATTGGAGAACTTCTTGCTTATACTCAACGAGGTTGTGTAGGGTATCATATTGTTGGATACATCCGACTTTGGTCCTTTCTTGGTTGATTTTCTAATGACAAGAAAAAAATACTGGGGAAATTTGAGGCAGTTCTTCCCATAGGCATATTGAAGTTGTTTCTATAATTATATATTAAAATTGTTTTGGATAATTTAAACTGATGTCAACAAAATCTAATGGCACGTAAGATTTTTTCTATGTCAATAGAAATGTTGTGGTTGACTGTTAATTAATTTTAATTATAGCAAATTATATAAGTCGATGAACCCTTAACACTGCACATTGACCTAGTAATACAAAATATTTCTTATCCTGAAGTTCTAATTAACATTAATTATTATTTTTATTACTAGAATATTTTTGAAAATTCAAAATTCTGAATATTGTTAGCACTAGAAAACAACGTTAATAAATTATTAGATTTTATTTACAATTAAAAAATGTTTAATATGTCTCTATACAAATTACTCGATTATCCACTAAAAGATCATAATAACTATCTTGTTTGGCATAAACAATTTAATATCACAGAAAAAAAAACATTTTCATTAACATAACTACAACAATTTGATACTATATGTAGCATTTCTCCTATAACAAGTGACTAGTCAATAAACCTTTGTCATTTGTCGAAAGTCCACTGAAATCGATTCAGGAAATCAATTTAAGTACCTATCTACAAATATATGTTAATTTTCTGTTTTTAAAGGCGATAGAAGAGAAATATTTTTTTATAACCAATTCAATGGACCGGAATATAAGTGAAAACATTTCTTCCTTGTCGAAGAAGAAATGTTCGTATAACTAGTTCCATAATCTCGTGAATTGTGATATTTAATCTAGTATCTGAATATGGCTCTATTATAGCAAAGTAATTTGTTTTATGACAAAAGTACAAACGACAAAATGTTCCATAGTATAATTATGACGTTTGATCGCTTTTTTCAAAAATCGTTCTTTCCGTTTTGTTTAATAAAAATACAAAAATTATTAAAAACTTTCCATACATTCGGCAAGTTGTTTGTGTCCATTCAACAAAATAAGTAATTTCATTTACGTCAATTCTTATTTAGTAACATTCTGTTGTTACGTGTTAATAATAAAAAAAAAACACTCCCATATAAATCAAAAAATTAAATCATTTACCATATTTGTTATTTTGCATTTCATACGTCAAGTTATTTTTAGAATTAGGTTAACGCATCGACGGCATTTAGTAAATTGATAATATTTAAAAAATAACGTTTAAAATTGATAAATAAAGGATAATGGAACGTTTTATTAATGAATTAATTGCACAGTTTCTTTTTTATTTAGTGTATATTAGATCCGGACCTAATTAAATATCTGAGAACCAATAAAGTATAAGTTCTGGATACTAAATCTAGACCAAATCTGAGAATAGAATATACCAGTACACTTTTCCTCGTACCTCCTCAATAAATTATCTAAATTTTGGTAGATACAAATATCTCATATAAACCGGTTTTGCTCTAAACTTTACAAATTTTAATATTAAAAGTTCCATACAATGAACATCTTGTGGGTAAAAACTAGTATAAGCTCGATTATAACCCTAAAATGAGTTTTTGTTTTTTTAAGTTTTTTGAGATTTTGGCTGATTTTTGAGATTTAGACTATTCTGAGACTTATAGTAAAACATTATGGCGAACATTTCTGTAGAATATTCTGAGCAGCTTTAATCCCGTTTTGAATGAGTTTTAAATCACTTCTGGAAAAGGGGGCCGAAAATACCCTTTCACTGAGTCGGTTGATATTTCCTCGATATTTTATCAGTAATATTGCCACTATATACCTATAATGCAAAGATTTCAAGAAATCATAATTCGAAAATATTCAAAAATTCCCAGGAAGGGAATACAAAACCAGTAAGGAAAGTAGTAAAGTCGGACTGCGCCGACTATATGATACCCTTCACCACTTTGGATATATTCTACATATGTATCCTTACAATTACATGTCAATGTTCCCTCGAAGGAACATACTCATGCAACCTATGATAAATTCAATTTCATTTGGGGCAGATTTAGAGTCGTCTGCGTACCATGGGACAAATTTATGGAAAACGATTTATAGCAAAATTGATACACGCTATTCGGTACGCCGCATTGTTAAAAATCAATTGTAATCAGACACCCGTTCGAAACACATATGACAGCTATGGCTTCATCTGCAAAATTTCGCTTAACATTAGGAGTTTGGTGCACCATTTATGTAAAATCGGACGAAATCGGATCTTAACTTACATCATTCTAGACCTAATTCAGTATGCTATGCCAAATTTCGTGCAAATCGAAAGTTATATAGGGGATTTGGTGCACCATTTACACAAAATCGGACGAAAATATATATGGGAACTATATCTAAATCTGGACCGATTTTCACGAATCTTAACTTACTTCATTCTAGACCTAATTCAGTACGCTATGCCGAATTTCGTGCAAATCGATGGATATATATAGACTTTAGTGTACAATTTACATAAAATCGGACGAAAATATATATGGGAGCTATATAGAAATCTGAACCTATTTTCCCGAAACTTACCACTCATCATTTCAAACTCAATCACATCGTTCTAAACATAATTCAGTACGCTATGCCAAATTTCATGTAAATCGAAGGATATATAGGGTCATTGGTGCACAATTTACATAAAATCGGACGAAAATATATATCGGAGCTATATCTAAATCTGAACCGATTTTCACGAAACTTGACACACATCAGCTTAGACTTTATTTAGTACGCTATGCCAAATTTCGTGTAAATCGAAGGATATATAGGGACTTTGGTGCACCATTTATATAAAATCGGAGGAAAGTATATATGGGAGCTATATAGATTTCCACAGTAGAAACAGATTTCCACAGCAGAAACCGGATATAACGAACAACGGTTATAAATACACAACGCAACTACACATATAACGAACAAAGCTAATTCATTCTCAGATATTTTCATTAGTTTTCTTATTCTCAACTTTACTTGCGGGGGCGTTGTAAATAACAATAAGTTTCTTTGCTTTTATTTCTTTCATCAAACCTAATATCGAACATTCTATTGTTTATACCCTACACAACTATGTTGTCAGGGTATTATAGCATTGTGCAGCCCCAAGAGTTTGTAAGGCCGCGAAATATTGGTCCTAGACCCACCTTTAAGTATACCGATCATATCTCGACTAGCTGAGTCAATCTAGACATGTGTGTCCGTCCGTCTGTCCATTATAATTTGTAAACACGATACAGGCCACAGTTATGGACCAATCTTCACGAAATTTTGCATGTAGGATGGGTTCTGGCCAATGAAGACCCCTATTGGTAAAGGTCGGTTAATATTTAGGGGATGAAATGTACCAAAAACTTTATTTTTGTCAGATTTTCTGGCCGCAATTATGGCCCAAACATCGCGATTTTCACAAGGAGAACGGAACGGGCCAAAGAATAATCATGCCTGTTTTGATAAAGATCTGTCAATATTAGGCGGGTCAAATGGACCTTGACTTTTGTGTGAAAAATTACAAAATTTGTGTCTATGTCCTGAAGGACATACACCCGACAAGTTGATAGTATATCCAAGAGAAGCGGTTGACCTTTAAATTGATACCAATTATATTATAGTATGTTCTCGGATGTGGGAGTTACACTTAAATATTTGCAGATGTCTACGTATTCAGATATTATGTATTAACCCATTACCACACCAGAGGGTCCGCCATCTGGCTGATCGCTTTTAAATTTCCATGAGGTTCCAGTTATGGTCAAGGACAACGCCTATATGTTCTGTGATGATCAGATAATAATTTTGGGATGAAGTGGACCGAATACTAAATTTGTTGTGTTTTTGAGTCGATCTATAGGCCAAATTATAAGCCGAACATCAAAACACAGCCCACGGGGAATTCAATATGGACAAGTACCGAATATTAGAAATATTCGGAAAATATGACAGTGTAAGGCAAAGGTTCTGTTGATCTCTAATCCGACAAGAGGGTGAACTATCACGAAATATTGCCCAAGGCTCGGAATAAAAATCCGCAGAAAGTTAAAGCCACGTGGTAGTTGTGTAGGTTATCGTATGGTCGGCCCCGTCCGACTATACTGCTCCGCTCACTGGTTTTTATTCTGAAGTTCCCTACAAAAAACTGTTATATCATGTAAAACGCAAAAAATCGCAGTTTGAAACCTATTGGAATCAATTTTGAAGGCTTTCATTAATATATTTCAGCCGTCAAAAGATCAGACAAATTCAAACATTTTAGTAAAAGTCTATCTAAAATTACTTATGTTTAACAAATAAACATATTTCTTTGATTATAGTCAACCATGTAAATTTTGAATCGCTACACAAACGTATTAACAAATATTATTTTTTAAATAAACAGCACACACCACCACCAATACTCCCCATGTTTAATTTTTATGTTTATGCTTTGTATTTAGCGGTTTCAAACGTTTTAAAATACGCCTTAATTTCTTACATTTTTTATTTCTTTAATTTTATTTTCAAAGTTACGATTTTCACCGCATTTAGGATACTTTTACGCAAAAAATCTTACAGAATCATAAATTTTGACATGTTTTCATTTTAATGCCATTAAAAAAGATATTATTTTCCAAAATTGAAAAAATGACTTTTTACCTAAAAAACTGTCCAAATTACCTATAGTGCAGTGTGGTGAAGGGTATAAGAAGAAATTTTATAATTTCTTCACAATTGAAAAAATCAATGAAAAGTAATTTTTTGTAATAAATCTCACTTTTTGTTCCCACGATTTTCATTCAATAAATTCTATACTTGGACACCCCTCCCTTGAATTATGAATTCAGTAATATATAAACCTTTATTATCATATAAATCTGAATAATTAAATAATAATGAATAATTAAGTCAAATAACCTTTAACATATTTTATTTAGAATATATAAAAAACTATTTACTTATTTTGTCTTCTCTATTTTAATTTCAGATTCCAAATTTTACACTGTGCCGTACACCTTGTTGCCTTTGTCGGTATTGCCTGGTTGCTGTGGTCATTTTTGAAATTTATTTTCCTGTCATAGTGATATTTCCCAAGGAAGTGGATTATGTTTAGTTGTTTAATGTGTATTTTTTTAATTTTTGCATTTTAGTTAATAAGATTTTCTCGCCCCTTTACTAACTACATCATGGATTTGCTAACAATAAATAAACAAATTTGTTTTGGTATTGAATTGTTATCGTTGTTGTTATTTAAATATGGGAAAGGCAAAAAAAAAAAAAAATATTATTAAACAATTAATAGCAGCAATGCTTTCGTTTTAAGTAACTAAACAAAACTTGCACAACAACAACATTTGTATTATTTTTTATTAATTTTTTTAATAATGGAGAAAAGGGCAAACAACCTGTAATGCAAGTCGCCTTTCTATCTATCAATCAAGAAAAATAGGAAAAACGGTTCAATCAATATTTAATTAAAGGTCAGTGTATTGGAAATTGCATAATATTGTCGATTACAATTCATGAATATCGAAGTGTGTCTTTATTTCCTCGGTTATATTTAAATTGTTGTTGTTATTGTTGTAAATTAAAATACTTAAATTCTCGGTATTTAATTTATTCTGTATTGAATTTATGTGTGGTTGTGTTGTTGCTGCTGTTGTTGTTGTTGTTGTTGTTGTTCGTGATTTCATTGGAAGCGTTACAGTAATAAAATACCCACTAATAATCCGTCTACAATAGATAATAATTTAGATTTTTCTAGTCTCGCATTAAATAATTTGTATTTTGTTTTCATTATTTTATTAAATCTTCATTATCTGATATTGCCGGTTTTGGTGAATTGGAGATTGAATAATTAATAAAAACAGAAAGAAATTAATAAAATATTATTTTGTTGAACCTGTTAATGGGAGATTATACAAATTTTCAATATTGAAATTTGAACTTATTAATTATATAATTTTGAAGACAATATTTGTTATAGGCGTCCATTTGGGAATAATCTATAGAACTGAAAAAAATATTTGGGGAATAATCCACAGAACTTAAAAAGAAAATTTTGGGAATAAACCACAGAACTGAAAAAATATTTTTGGAATAATTATTGGACATGAAAAATATTTTTTAAAAATCCACGCCTATTGGCAGTCCCTGAAAAAATATATTTTTAAACCAGTTAGCAGAGCAGTATAGTCGGACGGGGCCGACCATACGATACCCTACACAACTACCACGGAACTCTAACTTTCTGCTGTAGTTTATTCCGAGCATGGACAATATTTCGTGATATTTGCACCCTCTTGCCCCATTAGAGGTCAACAGCACCTTTTCCTTACACTGACATATTTTCCGAATATTACTAATATTCAGTCCTTCTAATTACTTGTCCATATTCCCTTCACCGTGGGTTGTGTTGTGATGTTCGCTTTCAATTGTGGCCTATAGATCAACTCGAAAAAACACAAAAAGATATGTTTTCGGTCCATTTCATCCCAAAATGATTATGTGATCATCACCGAAAATTATAGGCATTTTGCTCGTCCCTAACTGGAATCTCATGGAAAATTTCAAAGCAATCAGCGCTATAATTCCGCACTCTAGTGTGGTAATGGGTTACTAAATAATATATAAGTACGTAAGTACCCGTAAATATTTATGCTAACTCCCACATCCGAGTACATACGACAATATAATTCGTATTAATTTAAAGGTCAACCACTCCTCTTGGATCAATATCAACTTCTCGGGTCTATGTCCTTCAGGAGTAAACATATACTCCATAGAATACAAATTTAGTCATTTTTTACACAAAAGTATGGGTCCATTTGACCCGCTAAATATTGAACGTTCCTTATCAAAACATGCATGCTTATTCACTGGCCCGATCCCCTTCTCCATGCAAAAATTTGCGGTGTTTGGGCCATAATTGCGGCCCCTGGAGCGACCAGATATTAACCGATCTTTTCCAAAAACAATAGGGGTCTTCATTGGCTAGAACCTACATGCAAAATTTCGTGAAGATTGGTGGGTCTAGGACCAATATTTCGCGGCGTTACAAACTTTTGGGGCTGCACAAAGCTATAATACCCTGACAACATAGTTGTGTAGGGTATAAAAATCCACGCCTATAGGTAGTCCCTGAAAAAATATATTTAAAAAAATCCACGCCTATTGGTAGTCCCAGAAATACATATTTAAAAAAATCCACGCCTATTTGTAGACCCAGAAAAAAATATTAAAAAAACCACGCCTTTGGTACTTACTTACTTGTGACAGAACTTTTGCTCCATAAGCCGAGCTTAAACAAGTTTTTCGTAGTTTTTCTAATTTGAAAGACCATATTCGGCAATGTTGTCTTCCACTTGGTCTTTCCATCTTATTCGTGGCCTTCCTCTTTTGCGTGAATCATCAGCTGGTTCACTTTTATATGCCTTCAGGGCTGAGACATCTTCATCTATTCTCACAACTTAACCTAGCCAACGTAGTCACTGCAGCTCAATACGTCCAACAATGTCGATGCACGAGAATAGCTTGTACAACTCATGGTTCATTCGAAAGCGAAATTCACCGTCAACGCAGATCGGCCATTTACTGCCAGACCCACTTTGGCAGACTCCTTCTCAATTTGTTCAAAGGAGGCTGTTACCGCTCTCAGTGTTCGACCCATTATGTCCATGTCATTTGCGTAGTCGGGTAACATGTGTTGTTTGGTGTACAGAGTTCCATTTCTGTTCACTTTTGCCTCTCGTATGACCTTTTTCAGCAGGATGTAAAAAAGGTCACACGACAAACTGTTACCTTGTCAGAGTCCTCTTTCGGTATTAAAGAGCTCCGAGAGGTCCTTTCCCACTTTAACTGCTGATCTTGTGCCAGTTAAAGTTATCCTGCATAGCCGAATTAATTTTGCAGGAATGCCAAACGCAGACAAGGCTTTAAACACCTCTGAACGAATTGGGGTGTCAAATGCGGCTTTATAGTCGACGAATTGGTGGTATGTGTCGATGTGCTTTTCGTGGGACTTTTCCAGGATTTGGCGCAGAGTGAAAATTTGGTCAATGGTGGATTTGCCAGGTCTGAAGCCGCATTGATATGGTCCAATAATGTGATTGACCATTGGATTCAATCGTTCACACAGCACACTGTATAGCCCTTTATATGCGATGGGAAGGAGACTTATTCCTCTATAGTTGGCCCATATCGTCTTGTCCCTTTTTTGTGCACGGCACACAGGATGCTGAGGTTCCAATCATTGGTTCCTGCATTGCTCTAGCCGAATTGTACTAATCAGCTGGTGCATGCTCCTGACCAGCATCTGACAACCAGTCTTGAATAGTTCGGCTTGTAACCCATCGGCACCCGCTGCTTTATTATTCTTCAGCCGATTAATTACTATTCTGACCTCATCTTGGCTATACACTCTATACCATCACCTCTTATTGGTTCTAGGGTATCTTCTTCACCGCCACTATTTGATACCACAAGTTTTTCAAAATGCTCCTTCCAGATCCTCAACACGTTGGCTGTATCTGTCACCAGGTTTCCTTCTTCATCTCTACAGGAGGATGTGCCTTCGGTTTGCTGTTTTACTCGTTGGTAAAATTTCTGGACTTTATTTTGACTCCTGTACATCTCGATTTGCTCACGCTCACGTTTTTCTTGTTCTTTCTACTTTTTTCTTAAAAAACACGTTTCTCCTCTCTCCTTTTCTCCCGATAATTCTCCATCACATTACACGTTGCTACTGTCTGCAGGGTTGCCCTATACGCTGCGTTTTTCACATCAGTAGCAATACGACACTCCTGATCGTACCATGGGATTCTTGATGGTGGTTTTTGGTATCCAAGTGTTGCTTTTGCTGCAGTTTGTAGAGAGTGGACAATTCTTTGCCATTGTGCTACTATATTATTATCGGGACAAAGGGTGCTTTCGTCAAGCAGTTGGGTAAGTTGAGCGGAGTAGGCTTCTGCTATCTTTTGTGTTTGCAGCTTTTCGACGTCAAATTTCCGTGTTGTGTTAGATCGAACCTTTACTGCAACATTAAGACGAGTGTGAACCTTGGCTGCTACAAGGTAATGGTCTGAATCGATATTCGTTGCCGAATCGATGGGGTTTCCGCGTTGTGTTAGATCGCACCTTTACTGCAACATTAAGACGAGTGCGAACCTTTGCTGCCACAAGGTATTGGTCCGAATCGATATTCGCTCCTCGGATCGATCGAACGCCTAATACACTGGATGAATGCCTTCCGTCTATCACAACATGATCAATTTGATTTCTCGTTGTTCGATCGGGAGAAATCCAAGTGATCTTGTGTATATCGAGATGCTTGAATCTGGTGCTGCTAACTACCACATTTTTTGCTGCCGCGAAGTCAATCAACCTCATGCCGTTGTCGCATGTTTCTTCATGAAGACTGAGTTTTCCAACGGTTAGGCCAAAGACATTTTCCCTTCCGATTTTTGCATTAAAATCTCCTAACAGAATTTTAATGCCATGACCAAGACAGCGATCATATGCTGTTTCTAAGCGCTCGTAAAATATGTTTTTGGTCTGCTCATATTTGTCTTCGGTCGGAGCATGGGCGCAAATGAGACTGATGTAGAAGAACTTCGCTTTTATACGAATTATAGCAATTCGCTCATCTGCTGGAGTGAATCTGGAGACAAGGTCTTTTATTCTCCTCTTAACCATAAATCCGCAGCCAAATTCACGTCTCGTTTAATGGCAACTATAATACAGGGCGTAATCGTCTCTCTTACGCCTGTCCCTTTCCATAGCATTTCCGGTAAGGTAATAATATCGGCTTTGTACTTCTCGAGTACATCGGACAAAGCGAGAACTGCGCCTGTTCCGTACAACGGCGCATATTCCAAGTACAGATTCACAGATCGTGGTCCTTTATACGTTTGCGGGGGTCGTCAATATTAGGTGGGTTTGGTTTTCTTTTTTTTTTTTTTTTTTGTTTTTTCATAGTAGGAGGGATTTTTCGAGTGTGGGCAACTAACCCGACGCCTCAACCCATTTTTATACCCTCCACCATAGTATGGAGGGTATATTAATTTTGTTTTTCCGTTTGTAACTCATCGAAATAATCATTTCCGACCCTATAAAGTATATATACTCTTGATCGGCTTAAAATTCTATGACGATATAGCCATGTCCGTCTGTCTGTCTTTTCACCTGCGGAGGATAGCGAGATAAAAAATTTAAACGTAAGGTTCGATAATGAACTATAACCCGCATTTAGGTATAGTCCCTGTGTGGGAGGTACCAGAAGGAGTGGACATATATTCCCCATCATCGAACTTTAACTAAGTTTGGAAGAAATAATAAGATGGGCAAAATTTGGAAAAAATCAAAATTTTCTGAAATGGATTTGGTTTAAAGAAACATGGGGTCTAGAACCAATATTTCGATGATGCACATTTTCACAAAGTGTATACACCCTCCTTAGCCATAATGCTGAGTCTATAATTATCCATTAACAATTTCTGAAATTTGTATTATGGTTACCAAATGAGCTTGTAGAAATGTCGGTAAAAGTCCACTTTTTGGTATTTTCCCTATATATTCATTACAAGTCTATAGATATAAATATGTATATAAATATACTGACAGGTCAGTACATATTAGCTCACTATTTCAACGGGTGATGAAAATAGCTACCCCAGGTGACACCACGGGGAGGTCAGTGCACACAATTGAGTTGAAAGAGGGACCAAGATGAGCCTGGAGTTCGCCATGTTAAAGCCAATCAGAGCCGTTGCTTGGTATCTATCATCTCCTACGCCACGCCTTTTGTAGGCAATGAAAAAATATTTTTTAAAAAATCAGCGCCTATTGTTGGACATGAAGAATATTTTATAAAAAAAAATCTATTGGTAGTCCCTGAAAAAATATTTTTAACATATCCACATATTCCAAAATCCGTTCGAAAAAGATTAAAAGCCAAATCCCCCATCTTAAATATTTTTAATTGCGCCAGAATAAGATAAATAGGTGAAATAAAAACAATATCAATAAAAGACAACATTTTTATTAGATCTACATAGGGAAAATTCCGCAATTGTTTTGAATGTACAAAACTGACCAGATCGTCTATTTATTACCGCAATATAATATTTTAACAACCGGCTCTAAATCAAGCTAGTTTTGAAAAAAAGTACCAAATATATTTGTATGCACGAACAGAGATGTTCTTGGCTGAACTATAAATTTATTAATACGATCCATTCCCAAATTATATAAAAAATTCGAAATTAATTCAGGCATTGAATTCAACAAACATGAAAACGAAACGAAAAAAAAACTAAAAATTAAATAGGTGAAATAATTAACCGTTTCTAATAATGAGTTCAATAAAATGAAACTAAACAAAAAATAAAACAACAAAAAATAATAATAAAAAAACAACAACAACAAATCAAATATCACAATCGTGTTTGGGATACATGTTTTGCTATTAGCATAAATCATTACGATACTAAGCTGGAGCATATACCGGCCGACAGACAATCGTCCGGTCAGACAGACATAGAAATGTACAAAGTGTAAGAGTATTGAAAATTACTTAAATTCGATTTTTATTTTTTATTTATTTTTTTTTTTTTGTTATTTTACGAATGACTTACGTCGGGAATATATACATTTCATTTTACATACAACAACAAGAAGAAGAACAACAGCACGGCCACGGTAGGAATTTCTTGGGACAACATTTATTAGCAGCGTCTCAGCGATCGATCAAGCAAAGCTTCACACGCTGACGTCCGTCCGTACGGCTGGGTAATGCAACAACGGCTAATGTTCGCTTCGCTGTAGACCACTTACGCAAAATAAGCCGAGCCGGTTTAAGTTTGAATCACAGTTAGGTTTGAAATCGAAACCGAAACAGAAGTGCATATATAAAAGACGACAATTGAAATTTCATTTCTATTTGCTGATAGAACGTAGAGCAAGCAAGCGGTCACTTTGTCAATTTACTTTTCACGGCGCGGAAACAGTTGAGTTGCGCATGCGTTATAATTAAAATTAAATAATAATTTCGTAATAAAAACGAAAAGTATAACGAAATAAAAATAAATAAAAAATTAAAAAATAATACATTTAAAAATTAAATTATTTAAATCATAATTTTCTGTGTAATTAAAAAAAATAAAATTCTAAAAATAAAACATGGTGAACACTATGCAAAATAATGTCTTAGAAATGGATACAAAAATCCAAAATTTTTTCCGTAATAAAAAAGTGTTCATCACTGGCGGTACCGGATTCTTGGGAAAAGGTGTGTGTGTCATATTAATACTATTTTTTTATTTAACTAAAACAATAAAAAAATGTGTCATCTCTATTCTGTTGGCATCGACTAAACTTGGGCATCAATTAAAAATGTTAAATTATCCATATAAGACGTGGCCATAAATATACACTTTTAAAGTCACACATATCTAATATTTATTTATGATATTAAAATTAAAAAAAAAGTGTTTGTGTTTTTAATAATGGAAATGATACAACAAATTTTATGGACTATATTATTAAAAAAATATTTTTTATTTAATAAAAAATATATTGTGAAATAAGAACTGTTTGGTGAGAAATTTTCCCCTGGAAGGATTTGAAATATGAAAATTCATATAAATTATATTTAAAACTCCTACAAAAAGAAGTGAAATATGTGATCGAATTCCGAACTGATTCATCGGAATTAGTACTTCGGTTAATAAAAAATTAAATGGCACCAATGACTGTGTGCACAACAATTTCTCCGATCTTATGGTTAACAACATTATTTTGAAACCCTGCAGGATTTGGGATTAATTGTTTAACTGCCAATGGATTTAAAACAATAATCTCTCTTGAAAATCTAAAAAAATATGTATTTTTTTATTTTTTAAATCCCAATCATTGTCAAAGTTTCCTTATCCTTAAGAAATAAGACAATATTAATTTGTACAACTAAGGGACAAAAATTTCCGTTAATTCGATCCTCATTAAATGTTGGATGCAAATGTTGTTGAAAGCTAAGTTTTAGAAATCAATCATAGGTATTGATTTCTAAAATGGATATATCCTATCCATTATGAATAATATGGAAAATCTGGAAAAATTGACTAAATATTAGATCGATATTTCAATTAATATTATAGTCACGCCAAATGGCATTCATGAGACAAGTGAAATTGGCCTCCATATACGTCTCCAAAAATAAATGATTTCGACTGTGTTTCAATTTATTCGGAAATTTGATTTTTATCCTGATCAAATATTAGTTACTAGCGAAGTTCCCGCTAATTCGTATGCGGAAAAAATACAAAACTAATAAATAATATTTTATATGGAAATCGTGAATACCAAATAGTAATACTGTAATGGTTGTACTATAATTCCACTATTCCTACATCTAATATCGAGATTATTATTTGGTACTCTTCATACACATAAGGTCTAATTTCCGAAATGTCTTTCTTATTTTCATTATACAGATTCAATAGTGATCAGAATTCCAATTATATAGTTTAGCAAATACTAACAGGTTTCACCAAGAAGCATGAACTTTTTAAAGTTAGTTTTTCTATGGAACTACCAGACCAAGAAGCGTGTATTTTTGAAGAATATTCAGACGTAGATTTTTAAAACTTTTTAGTCGTCTATCTGACCAATTGAATATTTCAAGAACATTTTGACCAAGGTTGACATTTTTCAATTCAATTTTACGCATCGAAATTTCCCTATATTCCACGCTGTGAGTTTTATTTTCCGATGTTGAAAAGTGTACATCTGTAAACAAATTAAAAAGTCCTAAGTTTTGGCTTCCAGTGTCAGACAAAAGGAAACCAGGTAGACACGTGGGAACTTTGGTATGCATAGAATCCCTTTCTGAGACGATTTATGCACGTCGTCCGTCTGTTGATGTAAAATATACAGGTGGCATATATGATCCGATTTTGAGGAATTTTGGTAAAGCTGAAATCTGCATATATTTCGATTTAAGGGGACCCCCCCATTCTCGGGGTCAAAATTGTTGCTGATATAATTCGAATCTGCAATGATTAAAGAATGTCTCTACAAAATTTCAAGTGAAAATCTCAAGAACTCTTGAAGATATAGCCGATTTATTGTGTCAGCATCAAGTGACGGCTAAAGGGCTTCTCAAACTTTAAACGCGTTTTTCTCTAAACATTTTTTTTGCGAATGGCGGGCACGATAACTCAAAAACTAATAATCCAATCGGTTCCACATTTTACAACGTTTCTCTGGGAGTGTATAGCTCTCGTAGGAACTAGGATAAAGCCAATCGGTGAAGATCTACCTTATTTTTTAACTTGGTTTTTGGTAAAAAATCGGCGATTTTCCAAAAATATTTTTTCAAAGGTCCACCATTTTGTTAATTTTAGATCGAAGTCAATAATCCTAGTTCATACGAGGGCCGGACATGTACTCTTTCTAACACCGTTAGAATTTTCGGATTCCGATGTTCCAGTGAGGAGTTATCATGCCCGCCATCAAAAATAAGGACTTTTCTTTAATTACAAAAAACAACAACAAAACAATAACAAAAATTTTTTGTAAATTATTTTTCTTCTCTTTTAAATCTTCAAGTATATATGTGTTAAGTTACAAACCTTAACAAGCATTTGTAATCATTTACCAGCCCATTGAAAATCTTGAAAAATTAAAATCGAGAATGGGGGGGGTTCCCTTAAACGAAATTTTGCATAGCCTATTGAATTAAGCATAGAATGACATATGCTATGTTTCGTCGAAATCGATGCAGATTAAGATATAGCTCCCATATATATTTTAGTTTCTGGTATTAAATTTCGGTTATACCCGTTCATATTTCTGAAATTATCCACATAATACCCAACGTTTGTTCTATTGCACAGCGTACAAAAATAATTATGAAATATCGTGTGTAACATTTGTAATAAATCGATACAGATTTAGATATATATACCATCGATTTCGAATATATATAGCTACCATATGTGTTTTCAAACCGATTAGCACATGCCAATTCTCCTTTAAATTGAACCAGATTTACACTATGGACCTCATTCTCTCTACCTGAAATGGACTTTTGGACTGGATTCCGGTCCGATGTTCTGGTATGAAATATGCATATTAAATTAGGACACAAAAATTGACGAAAGTGGGTTTTTTATTATCAGAACAAAAAACCGGTTAAACAAATAAGTAGAAATGTCGGTTATTTTAGACGGACCGAACTTTTTGGAAGTATAAAACGAAATACCAAACTAATGACAACCAAATTGGAAACTTGGTCTGGAACCTTCAACATACCGAATATGAGGCGTGACCATTGTATGGGGGCTATGAAACATGAACTTGTATTGAAAATCTTCTATGGAGGTCTCGCAATGTGGCCACTCCGTTATGCTAAAATAAAGCCACTTCTTTAAAAAAATTCAATATACCTACATAAGTTCTGCAACTTTACATGGAGGCTACTTCCAATGAAGTTTGTACATGAAATTCTTAAAAAGGTGCCGAGCAATAAAAGTAGAGCAATTTTGATATTTTTGATACAAAACATCGAAAATACAATATAACAAATCAAATCCAATTCGGTTGAAAAACGTAACGACATTACTATTTTTTGGCCGGGAAATTTGCTACCCGAAAAGAACGCGTAGTTTATAAATGTGTTAAAACTATCCAAAATATCGATACCGAAAATTGGTAGGTACTCTGGTAACCCTAAGAATTGGAAAAATTTGCTAGAAGATTTTCTACCCGCTCAAAAGTACAAAATTACAGCCAATTGCAATCTCGAAACTTCCAAAAAATACCGAAGGTAGTGTATCTCGGAATAGTAGCAATGTACGTTCAACATTTCAAAGCTCTATCTTAAGTACGGGGAACACTATCGTGATTTCAACAGAGATATTGGTAGAAAGTCAGACGGATATGGCTAAATCGACATAAATTTTTTTACTGATCAAGATGGATGGATGGCAAAATGAAACTAAAATTTTATGGCATGTCTGTCCTGAAGAAGTCTAGGGTCTATGAACGTGGATGTGATGACTTTTATGTGGTCGTATACGGAAGATATACCAAAATCTAGGGGTATGACAATTATAAATATCTTCTTTTCCGTTTTGTTGTGCCGTCTTCTGGCCATATTTGTGGTCCGAACTAATCAAATAATTATAATTAATATGAGGTAGTTAAATGTTTTAAGAGGTGATATTGTATATATCGTGGACCATTCCATTAAAACAAAATATTTGTATCTAATATTTATTGTCACAAAATTCGAACAATTAAAAAATTCTAACTTTTGTCCAAGTGTACATTTGTCCAAAGGTACCTTAAAACCAGTGAGCGGAGCAGTATAGTCGGACGGGGCCTACCATATGAAACACTACACAACTTTCGCAACATTCAATTTTAGCATGTCCGTCTGTCCGTCCGTCCATGTATTTTTGTGAACAAAATACATGTCGCATTTATAGACCGATTTAAATGAAATTTTGCACAAGTCACTTATTTGGCCCAAGGACGAACTCTATTGAGATATAGATCCCGTGTATAGTTTCGTCCGATTTTATGTAAGTGGTGCACCAAAATTGGGAGTTTGGTCCGATTGAGACAAAATTTTGCACAGAGTACTGAATTAGGTCTAGATAGATATATGCCAAGTTTTGTTGAAATCGGTTAAGATTTAGATATAGCTCCCATATATATAGTTTCGGCCGATTTTATTCAAGTGGAGCACCATACTGCCATTATTGGTGCGGTTGGGACAAATTTTGCACATAGTAATGACTTAGTTCCAGATTTATATATGCGAAGTTTTGTTGAAATCGGTTCACATTTAGATATAGCTCCCATATTGTTTCGTATATTTGTCCGATTTGGACAACATATTGCACAGAGTTCTGAATTAGGTCCAGACTGATGTCTGCGAAGTTTAGTTAAAATCGGTTCAGATTTTGTATAACTCCCATATATAGTTTCGCGCTCGAAGCCTGGGCAAAAATTCGAGGTCTTCAATGGTCAGAACCCATCCTACATGCAAAATTTCGTGAAGATTGGTCCATAACTGTGGCCTGTTGAAATTTTATTAAATTGTTTTGTGAAGCATTTGGAATAATTCGGACGTATCCGATAGTTCTACATAATAAGGGATGTCTATTGAATTTAGTTCGAAGGACAAGGAATGGAGTTAGACGGACGAAAGTTCTACACAAAAATTCCTCATTCGATTTTACTGAATTATAATATCAAAAAATTCATATTTTAGCTACAGAACAAGATATGAAGCTATCTCTTCGTGTAAAATAAAGGCGACAGCAAAAAAATTATAACACCACCACTTCTGGGTTTTTTTTTTATTTCCAATTGGAATTTTTCACCCCAGACCATGGCCTCGATTTGTTCTGACTGTGTTATTTATATAGGTCCAATTTCTAATCACTTAGATGTGATTTCAAATATCGTTTTTTTCGTTAATGTGCTTATTTTGATCAAATCTCTAAAATAAGAAAGCTTCTAAATTTTCACCATTTTTGAAGTAATTGTAATAAATTGTATATGTAAATATTGATACAATTTTTATTTATAAATGTATTTTTTGTAATTCAATTTGCAATTAATGTATTATTATTTTTTTTTTTTTGCTATTCATTACAGTATTTATTGAGAAACTACTACGCACCACAGATGTTGAACGTATTTATGTGCTGGCTCGAGCTAAGCGTGGCACTACAGCCACCGATCGTATGGCACAGATCTTAAAAGATCCAGTAAGTCATAGTTGCTAAATCTTCGACATGTAATTGAAATAAATAAAAAAAATCAAATTTCACAATTCTAGCTCTTTGAAAAATTACACACCGTACGATCGGATCCAATGAAATATATAAAAACCATAGAAGGTGATTGTACGCTGCCGAAATTGGGTATTTCTCCCGAAGATCGTAAAGAGCTAATCGAACAGGTTGATGTGGTGTTTCATTGTGCGGCCACAGTGCGGTTCAATGAACCGCTAAGCAATGCAACACAAATCAATGTGGCAGCGACAAGAGATATGCTGGACATGGCCAAAGAAATGAAAAACTTGAAGGTGAGTGTGCGTTTATAAAAGAATTAAATGTAAGGAAAAGGTGTTATAACAAATTGCATTTTAAATATTTTATATAAAAATCATTCTATTCTTTTTATTTTATTCTTTATGATAATTGTAAATAGACTGCATTTTTCCTATTTTTTAAAGTTTCCTATTTATTTTTTATTTTAGTCCTTTGTCCACGTTTCCTCAGCCTTTGCCAATTGTGTGGTCATCGATGCCGAAGAGAAATTCTATACGCAACATTTGGGTATTACGAGTGATAAGTTATTGGATTTGAAAGATAAATTAGGCAAAATAGCATTTGATGCAATGGAAAAAGAATTGGTTGGAAAATATCCCAATACTTATTGCTATACCAAATCGGTGGCCGAAGAGGCAGTACAACAAGTTGGCAATTCCATACCAATATGCATATTTAGACCTGGAATAAGTAAGTATAGAACAAATTATATACTTTTAATACCAATTGAATTAGCTATCTGTGTCCGTTCGTCTGTCAATTATAAATAAAAAATCCACGCCTATAGTAGTCCATGAAAAAATATAAGGAAAATTCAAAAGTCGGACGGGGCCGACTATATGATACCCCTCACCACGTTGGGTACATACACGAGATGTTAATATCTACAATATTCTGTAGATACAACAGACATAGAATCTTTGGAGGACCATTGAGATGGAATCGGGCGAAATTAAATGTGCTATCTAGATAGATATTTGAAGCAATTGAAAAAAAAACATATACATATACATACAATTCTTCAATGAAAAATTGCATGTCAAACTTGCAGACTTGGATTCTTTGGTGTACCATTTGTATGAAATCGAGTAAAATTATGTATGGGCGCTATATATAAACACATGGACCTAATTGAGCAACCTTTGCATACACCATTTGTTTTTTATTATCACTCTAAATTTAATTTAATAACCTCTGCCAAATTTCGTGTAAATCGAACAAACATAGGCCCTTCGGTGCACCATTTACATAAAATCGAACGAAAATATATATACGACCTATATCAAAATCTGAACCGATTTCAACAAACCTTATCACACATCATTTTTTTTCCTCAATTGCATTCGCTATGCAAAATTTTGCTCAATCGGCGAAATATTGGGAGGTTGGTGTATCATTCACAAAAAAAATCGGACGAAACAATGTATGGGAGCTATATCTAAATCTGATCTGATTTTTAACAAAACTTCGCAGACATCAATCTGGACCTAGTTCTGTACTCTGCGCAAAATTTTGTCCCAATCGGATAAATATTGGGAGTCTGGTGAATCACTCAAAAAAATCAGACGAAAGTACATATGGGAGCTACATCTAAATCTGAACCGATCTTAACAACTTTTAGCAGACATCAATCTGGACCTAATTCTGTGCAAAATTTTGACCCAATCGGACAAATATTGGAAGTCTGGTACATCATTCACATAAAATCGGACGAAACTATATATGGGAGCTGTATCGAAATCTGAACCGATTTTAAAAAAACTTCGCAGACATCTGTCTGGACCTAATTCAGTACTTTGTGAAAAGTTCTATCTCAATCGGACAAATATTGGGAGTTTGGTGCATTCATTCACATAAAATCAGACGACTCTATATATGAGAGCTATATCTAAATCTGAACCGATTCCAACAAAACTCCGCACACATAAGCATGCACCTGATTCAAAAATTTGTCTCAATCGGACAAATATTGGGAGTCTTTTGCATCATTTACATAAAATCGGACGAAACTACGTATGGGAGCTATATCTAAATCTGAACCGATTTTCTCCATTTTCAATAGGGTTCGTCCTTGGGCCATATAAGTGAACTGTGCCAAATTTCTTCCAAATCGGATCCCAAATGCGACCTGTACTTTGTTTACAATTTAACTTGGACAGACAGAAGGACGGACGGACATTCATAAATCGACAGAGAAAGTGATTCGATTCATATTCTCAAAAGGAACCATGGGTCTCTCGATTTCTTTTGTCTCTTACAAACATATGCACAAACACCACAGAGTGGTGAAGGGTATAAAAATCCAAGAAATTCAGTACATAATAGCACTATCCGTACATTTTTGAAATAGGTTTCCAACCTCCGTTTTCGTATCAATCGCCCAATAGCGAAGGTAGACCTTTTTTAGATCTTCTGGCCCCTTTTTTCTTAGTTCTTAATGCTCATGTTTTGCGGCATTAGGACAATCACATTCAATTTTAAACATTCGGTTGCGCTCTTTGTCGTATCAACACTTTTTTGATATATTGTACTTAGCAATAATATCGAAATAATTTGGAAAATACATATGCGAATTTTGTAACATCAATGCAGAGGTCGGTGGAAGTTTCTGAATTTAAGGAAACAATGCAATGCAAAACTAGTTACAATCGTATGAGTCGGCGGTTATTAGCAACAGAAACAGTAGTCAAGCAAAACGGCTTTTATCAATGAGAGAGAGAGAGAGAGGAAAAATGAGCGCAAATAGTGGTAAAGTTGAGCAAAGTAAGAACATGGATGTGATATTAATGAAATGTTTACATTTTTTGGAAAAAATTGTGACATTCTCTTCATTATAAGAATTTTAACTTGTATCCTAGCGATTTACATGTACAATATGAAAAAAATAACTAAAAATTATGAAAATATTCATAAAAAATTGTTTTCTATGTCTTTTATATTTCTAGTTCTGGCCACAAGTGAGGATCCCATACCAGGCTGGATTGATAATTTATATGGTCCCAATAGTATTGTCTATGGTTGTGCTTATGGTGTGTTGCGGGTTATGTATGCCAGACCTAATCAAAATGCTGCCTATGTACCGGTGGATTATTGTGCCAATATGATGATGGCCTGCGCCTGGGAAACTGCCACTACTGTTATACAAAAGTAAGCTTTCTGAAGACCTCATCGAAATTTTTATAAAGTATTTTGTATTTTTAGTCCACCCAAAGAACCACGCATCTATACTTTGGTGCCACACAAAACAAACGAACTGGATTGGGGTACCTTTAAACATTATGCTGTGGAACATGGTTTCAAAATGCCGCTACCAAATATGATTTGGTATCCGATATTGTTGTTTGCTGAAACATATATTGGTTACAAGCTATTGACATTGATTTATCATACGCTGCCGGGATATTTAATTGATTTTGTTTTGCTACTAATGGGAAAACCTACAAGGTAAGAATTCATACTTGTTTCTTGAAAATCTGTTTTTATAATTGAATGTATCTTCTTGCAGAATGACCAAAACCTATAAGAAAATCCACACACAATGCAGTATGTTACGTTACTTTTTGGCCTTCGATTTTACCTTTGACATGACCAATTGCTATAACCTGTGGGATTCAATGTCAGCGGAAGATAAGAAAATCTATAATTTCGATATGTCCAAATTGGATTGGAGCCGGTATTTCTATGACGATTTGAAGGGCATGCGTCGTTTTATTGCCAAAGAGGATCCCAAGTCCATACCTCAGGGTATGAAAATGTTGAGAATGTAAGTGTAGAGCTATACTTAGGATATGGAGTTTTCAAATAATAAAAAACGTGTTTATATTTTGCAGATTCCGCACCCTTAACTTCATTGTCCATGCCCTGTTCATTGGCGGTATGCTGTGGCTGACATGGAGTCTATTGAAATATATTTTCCTATAGTTCCTGAACCAATCTACCTAATTAAATGCATAACTCATTTGTGGTGTTCCTTTCAGGGGTCATATTATACAAATTCATAATCATCATTTAGTTATAAGAAGATTAGACACAAATATTTAAGAGATTAATTTATAACTTCAATAAAAATGATTTTATTTAAAGAAATTAAAAAAAACTTAATTTTACAAATGTGTATTAAAAAATATATGTTTTCTAGGAATATTAAATGTGTCGATTTTTATACCCTACACAACTATGTTGTCAGGCCGCAAAATACATTTCTCGACTAGCTGAGTCGATCTAGACATGTGTGTCCGTCCTTCCGTCTGTCCATTATAATTTGTAAACACAGTTATGGACCAATCTTCACGAAATTTTGCATGTAGGATGGGTTCTGGCAAATGAAGACCCCTATTGTTTTTGGAAAAGATCGGTTAAATGGGCCAAATATTTAATTTTTGTCGGCTCCAGAGGGCGCAATTATGGTCCGAACTTCGCGAAGAAGGGGGTCGGGCCAAAAAATAAGCATGCCTGTTTTTATAAAGATTGATCAATATTTAGCGGATCAAATGGACCCTGATTTGTGTGTGAAAAAATACAAAATTTGTATTCTGTGGCGTGTATATTTACTCCTGAAGGACATAGACCCGAGAAGTTGATACTATATCCAAGAGCAGTGGTTGACCTTTCAATTGATGCCAATTATATTGTCGTCTGTACTCGGATGTGGGAGTTACACTTAAATATTTACAGGTACTTATGTATTCATATATTATTTAGTAACCCATTATCACACTAGAGGGCGGAAATATATTTTGGAATATTCCATGGGGATCCAGGTATGATCAAGGACAACACCTGTAATTTTCGGTGATGATCAGATAACAATAGTCACGACATCACAACACGATCGGTGAAAGCCGAACATTACAACACAACCCACGGGAAGGAATCTGGCCAAGTAATTAGAAGGGTTTTATTGAATATTAGTAATATTTGTTGACCTCTAGTCGGTCAAGAGTGTGCAAATATCGCAAAATATTGCCCAAGCTCAGAATATAGAACAACAGGAAGTTAGATTTTAGATAAACAGGTGGCATTTATGACGCCAATTGGATGAACGTTGGCATTGGTCACTTATTTGGCCCAAGGACGAACCCTATTGAAATTGGGAAAAATCTGTTCAGATTTAGATATAGCTCCCATATATAGTTTCGTCCGATTTTCAGAAAATGGTGCACCAATGTCCCTATATACCATTCGATTTAAACGAAATTTGGCATAGCGTACTGAATCGAGCCTAGAATGATGTGTGCAAAGTTTCGTGAAAATCGGTTCAGATTTAGATATAGCTCCCATATATATTTTCGTCCGATTTTATGTAAATGCTGCACCAGTGTCCCTGTATATCATTCGATTTGATCGAAATTTGGTACAGCGTAATGAATTCGGTATAGAATGAAGTGTGTTCAGTTTTCTGAAAATCGGTTCAGATTTAGATATAGCTCCCATATATAGTTTCGTTCGATTTTATGTAAATGCTGCACCTACATCCCTATATATTATTCGATTTGAACGAAATTTGGCATAGCATAATGAATTAGGCCTAGAATGATGTGTGCAAAGTTTCGTGAACATCGGTTCAGATTTAGATATCGCTCCCATATATATTTTCGTCCGAATTAAGGTAAATGGTGCACCAAAGTCGCTATATATCTTTCGATTTGCACGAAATTTGACACAGCATACTGAATTAGGTCTAAAATGATAAGTGCTAAGTTTCGTGGAAATCGGTTCAGATTTAGATATAGCTCCCATATATATTTTCGTTCGATTTTATGTAAATGGTGCACCAATGTCCCTATATATCATTCGATTTGCACGAAATTTGGCATAGCGTACTGAAGTGAGTCTAGAATGATGTGTGCAAAGTTTAGTGAAAAGCGGTTCAGATTTATATATAGTTCCCATATATATTTTCGTCCGATTTAATGTAAATGGTGTACCAAAGTCCCTATATATTCTTCGATTTGCACGAATTTTAACAAAGCGTAATGAATAAGGTCTAGAATGATGTGTGTTAAGTGTCCTGAAAATCGTTTCAGATTTAGATATAGCTCCCATATATATTTTCGTCACGATTTAAGACAAATGGTGCTCCAAAGTCCTTATTTATCTTTCGATTTGCACGAAATTTGGCACAGCGTAATGAATTAGGAATAGAATGATGTGTGTTAAGTTTTCTGAAAATCGGCCCAGATTTACATATAGCTGCCATATATATTTTCGTTCGATTTAATGTACCAAAGTCCCTATATATCTTTCGATTTGTACGAAATTAGGCACAACGTAATAAATTAGGCCCAAATTGATGTGTGCAAAGTTTCGTGGAAATCGGTTCAGATTTGGATATAGCTCCCATATATATTATCGTCCGATTTTATGTAAATGGAGTACCAAAGTCCCTATATATCTTTCAATTTGCACGATATTTGGCACAGCGTAATGAATTAGGTTTAGAATGATGTGTGTTAAGTTTCCTGAAATCGGTTCAGATTTATATATAGCTTCTATATCTGACCAAATGAAAAATTTAGTATCGGTTGCAGAATGACATATTTATGGATCCAATTTCATTTTACTGGTCCTTTAAAAATTCGACGTCTGTTAGGATTCATCTGTTGAATATAACCAAAGTGGTAAAGGGTATCATATAGTCGGCCCCGTCCGACTTTACTGCTTTCCTTACTGGTTTTAAGTAATATTTTTCCATGACCTACCAAAGGCGTGCATTTTTTAAAGAATATTTTTCCATGGCCTACCAGATTTTTAAAGTTTTCATTTTTATGATTTCAAATCGAATTTTATTAATAACAATCATTTAAATAAATATTCTAATTTTAAATACATTTTTCTCAACACTCAATGACTAATTAAATTAGCTATATTGTGGTCTCTTATGAGCATCATAATGATGTCGTAAACGTCCCAGACGATAACTAGGCAATGGTTTCCATATACTGGGCATAGCCCTTGGTGTTCTTGGCGATGGTGTAATTAGATTGCCATTTGTGTAGGGATGCAACTTTGTATTGTCCACAATTGTAGAACGTTTCCGTTCGTGTTGATTCAAACGATAATTACTGCGAATCAAATGATCCACTCGACGATGGCTTTGTTCCAGTGGAGTACGTGGTGAATATTCATCACAGTTTATAATATCGTCATCATTATTATCATAATTTTCTACGCCATCGTCATCTTCAATTGCGGGAGAAATATCGTCAATTATTATTGTCATGGAGTCCAATGGGGTGCTTGTTTCCAAATTCATCTGAAAATAGTTGTTATTTCTATGCAGAAAATTCTCATAGTCGGGAATAGTGTCCACACTATAACAGGAATTATGTGAATCCATTTTTAAAATTTTCGATGAACTTTTTTTAGAATTTTTTATTTTTAATTTGTTTTTTTTTTTGACGTCAGTATTGTTTTTTTTTTATTATTTATTAATATTACTAATATTTGTATTTTTTATTTTAATTAGTTAAATATTTATTTTAATTAAAATAGTTTGTCTATTGTAACTTTTAAATTGTCACATTTATCCCATGATGTTTGATCATATGTTTTTGTTAGACTCTTCAGTTTTGAGGTTAACCTTAAACTGAACGCTCTGCGTAACGCAAACTGTACGCCGACGCATAGTTACATAGTGTTTAGGAATATAAAGATTTAAAATTGTTGTATGTTGATACCTCCCTTTCTGGATATGAAAACATTGTAGAGCTTGAAAAAAATATTCTTTAAATAATCCACGTCTGTTGTAGAGTTTGAAAACCATATTCTTTAAAAAATCCTCGCCTCCACGCCTCATCTAGAGCTTGAAGAAATATTATTTTAAAATATTTCTTAAAAAATCCACGCCATTTTCAATTTTTTTGTAATAAAAACGAAACTTCCTCCCACAAAAAGCTAAATTTTCGAAAATTAAATTTTCAATAAAGCAACACTTGGGTACCAAAGACAACCAGCAAGAAATCCATGGTACGATCAGGAGTGTCGTAATGCTACGGACATGAAAAACGCAGCGTATAGGGCAACCCTACGGACAGTAGCAACACGTAATGCGGTGTAAAACTATTTGGAGAAGAGGAGAGAGGAGAAACGTAATTTCAGAAAAAATGAAGAAAGAACAAGAAAAACGTGAGCGTGAGCAAATCGAGATATACAGGAGTCAGAATGAAGCCCGAAAATTTTACCAACGGGTAAAACACCAAACCGAAGGCTTTGGTGCAGGCACATCCTCCTGCAATGCGACGGAGAACTATCGGGAGAAGAGGAGAAACGTAATTTCAAAAAAAAAAAAAAAAAAAGAAAGGGCAAGAAAAACGTGAGCGTGAGTAAATCGAGATGTAGAGGAGTCAGAATGAGTTCCGAAAATTTTACCAACGAGTAGAACACCAAACCGAAGGCTTTGGTGCTGGTACATCCTCCTGTAGAGATAAAGAAGGAAACCTGGTGACAGATACAGACAGCGTGCTGAGGATCTGGAAGGAGCATTTTGAAAAACTTCTGGTATCAAATAGTAGCAGTGAAGTGGATACCCCAGAATCAATAGGAGATGATGGTATAGAGTGTATACCACCTAGCCAAGATGAAGTCAGAATAGCAATCAATCGACTGAAGAATAATAAAGCAGCAGGTGCCGATGGGTTACAATCCGAACTATTCAAGACTGGTGGTCAGATGCTGGTAAGGAGCATTCACCAGCTGATTAGTACAATTTGGCTAGAAGAATGCATGCCCAATGATTGGAACCTCAGCATCCTGTGTCCCGTGCACAAAAAAGGAGACAAGACGATATGTGCCAATTATAGAGAAATAAGTCTCCTACCCATCGCATGTAAAGTGCTGGATAGCACATGTGCTGTGTGAACGATTGAAGCAAATGATCAATGACATTATTGGACCATACCAATGCGGCTTCAGACCTGGCA